CCTGGCAAACACTCACGAAAGCGATATCCCGCGCCGTGCCTCCAAAGCACTCCAACGCCGAGTTTACTTCACGGATGGCTACAGCCTACGAGGCGCGCGCAGCAGTCAACTTTCAGATGCGACGCAGCAGTGCTGCCATGTGTGATATTAATACCGCGCTGGACCTCTTTCCGCAGTGGCCCGAAGCACTGACTAACCGCGGAATTTTGCATCACCTGCAAGGAAACTTGAACGCTGCCCGACAAGACTTTTTGTGCGTCCCCCCTCCCGACATAGTAAAACAATATAGTCTCAATATCCCACCTTGGCGTTAACATGAAATAGGGTCAATTGATGAATGACCACGAGATCGGTAGATAATAGTCTTTTAGCAACCTTAATGTCCTATCTTCATAGTCATTGTGTGACTGCCCACGTAGGCTCTAATTGTGAGCTCCTAAGCGAAGCGGGAATTAATTGTTCCTCTACCAGATCGGCGAAGCCCACATATTAAGTTAAATGTGTGTTGGTTTCTCATGCAGTCCCCTCTCATCAGGTGAAAAGTAACTATCGCACATATCAGTCTACGCATTGAATTTTCTTACTTTAGGTCTCCATTTTAGGTCGTTTGAGATATTATTTTGGCAAGTAAGAGTACGCGAGATGTAACCAACCTCTTAAAATAAATGTCTATTAATTGATCAAATATTGTTAGAGGTTTGACAGATTTCAATAATTCGATTGACCCTGGCCTGGTAGTCAACTTACTGTGTCCGTATTGATGGATTCCACACGCGCAGGAAAGCTGGGCAGGCAAATCAACCCAAATGTGTTTAAATTCACGGCGCACGGTAAGCCTCGTAGCTCGACGGTAGAGTTTTGGCTGCGCAAAAGCCTACCCTGATTTGTGGGTTCGACGCCCACCAAGACCACGAATTTTTCACAATTGGACCAATTGAATGGTCGAATATTGTTTGTAAAGGATCAGGTATATATTTGAGTTCTATAGTCCTTGGTTAGAGCGTCGACACAGACTAATTATAGTCATCAACAGTCAGCAGAATCCAAGGCTGCTCAGGCACATTATGTGCTCGGAATAATTCTTAGATTGCTACTTTGCTTTTAATATATGTCAACCATATGTTCACTGTCGTTGTTAATACTCCTGATGAAGAAACTTATTTACTGGTATAAAACAAGTCGTATAAGGGCGGTATGACCAGCATTTCTTATTACCTACCGTCAGTATGATATTAAAAACACTGTTCTTTTTTTCAGAAGGGCTTTGGAACTCGACCCGCAGAATATTCTCAGTCGCCTAAATTACGGCATACTACAACTGCATACAGGCCGTGTTCAAAAGGCTTTCAACTGCCTGTCCGTGGAACATGTCCCGCGTGGCCTCTCCTATCCGGAGCTGTTCCTCACCCGAGCACTTTGTTCCGCCCTGCTGGGTAAATGCGAGGCAGCTCTGTCCGACATCAAGGCTGCCGATGAAATCATTCCAACGCTACCGAGTACTGGCGAGTTAAAAGCCTGGATTCTTGTGCACAATGTGAAAGCCGTGGTATTCAGTACGCAAAAGCGCTGGGCAGAAGCGGAATGCGAGTACTCAACACGTGGGTACAGCCGCGGCTGCATTTTTAAATTAAACTTTAACTACATACCATCAACTGAC